GCTCGGCGGGGTATTACTGTCCCCCTGGCCAGACCTCAGCCACCCCTATGTCTTTCCGGTGTCCCCGTGGCTTCTACTGTCCTGAGGGATCTCCCCAGCCAAGGGCCTGTGAGGATGGAACCTTCCAGCCCCAGGAGGCTCAGGGCTCCTGTGAGCCGTGCCCCGTGGGGTTCTACTGTGAAGCCTCCGGCCCAGGTGGGTTCTTTGAGTTGGTATGTTGCCCCCTCGGGGCGCTGGCCCCAGGGCCGGGTGGCCGTCAGCAGTGGGAGCACCCAGCTCTCCACAAGCCCCAGAAGCAGCAGCGCATGTGCCATCTGTGAATGTGAGAACAGAAGGTGGGGCCTCCCTTGCTTCTCAGAGAGGGAGGGTCTGACCTGGGGTGGCCCAGGGCCCACATGGGAGCCCAATGTCCTCCACTGCCTGTGCCTGTTCAGATTTGGCTTTAGGATGTGTCTGGGGAATTCTTCTTGCCTAGAACCTTGGTCGCAGTGGTAGTTCCACAGGTCCGAGGTCCGAGTGCAGCGCTTGAGCAGCTGGCAGTGGGGTGGGGGGCGGAAGCCCGCTGGTGCAGGCGCAGAGCATGCTGGGGACTGAGACCAGGATGGCGCTTCCATGCTGACTCTGCCCCCATGTCATCGGTACCTCCTGGTGCCCAGCCCAGCTCGGGCACGTCGGGGATGTGAGTGCAGGACAGGACAGGACAGCCTGAGATCTGGGCAACGAGGACCTAGCTGGGCCTGGTTCATGGTTTGCCTGAGTTCCCCCAAGGTACGTGCAGCACACGAGGTCAAGACGCAGTCTGATTGGTGGGTCTGCAGGCCCCTGAGCCATCACTGAGGAAGTGGTGGCCCTGGTGTGGCCAGCAAGGGTGAATGCCACATCCTGGAGAGCTTTACACTCAGTGGCCAGGGTCCCTGGAGGCTGACAGGATTCCTGGGCCAGGCTCCGTCTCTGCGGCTGCTCAGCATTGAGGACGCCCCCAGGCAGCACACAGGAGTCAGACAAATAAATCACCTAGACCCAGGGGCTGGGCCCTCGTATGTTCAGGGCCTGGGGGTCCTGGGGCTCTGACTTAGGACCCTCAGTGGGTGGGGTTACCCCTCAAGGCAGACTGACCCTGCCATTGTCCCCAGGACCCGCAGCCCATGGCCCCAGCCTGTGCCTGCAGGGCTACTTCTGTCCCTTGGGCTCCCGCTCAGCTACTGCCCACCCATGCCCTTGGGGGACATTTGGGCCCAGGCGAGGGGCCACTGCAGAGCTGGACTGTGAGCGGTGCCCAGCAGGTTTGTGGGCCCTTGAGGGTCCCAGGCTGATGGGGGAAGAGAGAATGAGGAAAATCGGGAGGAGGGGAAGCAAACCAGCCCTCGAGGGCTGGCACCTTGGCCCTGGGGCCCTGCCTGCCCTGTGAGTCCTGCACATGGGCCTGGCCCCATCCTCCTCCCTCCCAACAGGTCTAGGGCCCCACTTTGGACTCTCACCACCACTCTCGCCATTCCCTGCACCCTGCCCGTGTGCACCTCTAGGGCTCAGGACAAGGCCAACCCCATGTTCCCCTGAGACAGTTGCTGCTGGCGAGAGAGCTGCCTTGGTGCAGTTCAGCTCCACATCTCTCTGGCTCCCACCCTCGCTCAGCCAGACGTGGCAGGCTGTGCCTGTCTGAGCCTGGGGAGGGCGGGGCAGGGTGGGGAGGGCAAGGCCCAAGAGAGGTAGGGTCGCTGCTGGAGCAGAGTGAGGTGGGGAAGAATCCCTCTGTCACCTGCCCCTACCTGAGTTTGCTGTTTCCAGGGATGTTCTGTTCGTTGGAAGGGCTGCCCCAGCCCTCAGGGCTCTGCCACTCTGCGCACTACTGCACCGGTGTGGCTGTGTCTCCCACCCCCATCAAGCACAAGGTAGGTACCACTGGGCCCCAGCACCCCGCTGGGTGTTAGGCCCTCCCTGAACACCCAGGTGTGCCTTGGTTCAGGACCATGAGGGGCCAGGGGCTCCTCCCTCTCACCAGGGTCAAAGCTCCCCAAGGGCAGGACCCTCCACTCACCTTCACATCTCCAGGGCCAGGCACCGGACCCAGTAATAGCTCATTTCATTGATTCTAAAGATGTGCCTCATTCTCACATTTCATATCCCTAAATCAGCTTAATCTATGATGTCTAAGGATCACAGGTGCACTGAGTTTTTCTTTCAAGTGGTCTGTGGGATAACGGCTCATCTTCCATAAGTTGGCATCTTGGATTTGATGACATGTTGCAATAACAGCAGGTAACATGCACAGTGTTTACTTTGTGCGAGTTGGCATTCAGGTGTGTGTCCACGTCGACAAAGCAGTCCTCACAATGGCCCTAGGACAAGGCCGCAGGGTCACCTCTCCTTAGACAGGAAGAAACCGGAGCATGTGGAATAACTGGTTTGCTCAAGGCCACGTGGGGAAAGCACCGTCTGTGTGCTGAATCATCATGCCGTGGTGGAGGGTCAGCTGAGGACAGACACTCGGACGAGGGCTGGGCAGACGGGACAGGGGCTGGTGTTTGTTGACTGGCTCTGCTTCTCATTTTGTTACTGACTTGCTGTGACCTGGGCCATGCCTGGTCCTTGTCCCCTCTAGGTCCCTGCCTCCCTTTGAGAACAGACACTGCCCTTTCTTCTGGAAATTCCACATCAATTCCACAGAGAACAGGCCACGAGACCAGGGAGGGGGGCACAGGAGGCCACTGAGTCAGTGCTAGGATTTAAGTCAGAGACCCCTCCCGTGGGGCTATCCTGGTTCATCGTCCCCAGGTCTCGTGGCACAGCTAAGCACGTTAGTGAGGGCTTGCAGGTGATATTAATTGCAACACAGCTTCATGCAAATAGGTGCTGGTCCCCAGCTTCTCCCTCAGGTGCCAGCCCTGGTGTGTGCAGCCGAGACGATGGCTCTGACTCACATTCTTCTTCCTTCTCTCTGCTGCACAGGTGGAGGCCCCAGGGCTTTCTGGGAATGACATCTGCTCCCCTGGCTTCTTCTGTCCCCAGGGGACGGGCTCCCCGGTTCCATGCCCTCCTGGGTTTTACTCCTCTGCCCACGGCCTGAGCAGCAAGGACCAGTGCCAGCCATGCCCCTCGGGGCGCTACTGCAGCCAGCCCGGGCTGTCCCATGCCCTGGAGGCAGGGCTCTGTGATGCAGGGTGAGGGGACCCTAGCCCTGAATTCCTCGGGAAGAGGAGGGAGGGAGATCCCTAGCTCAGGCCAGAGCTTGCCTGGGCTCCCAAGTCCCAAACTAATACTATTCCTGGGGTCTCTCCCCAGCCCCTCTTAGGAGCACAGGCCAGGGTGACCATCTCCCCCGGGCATGCAGGCCTCAGATGTTCCATCCTTAGACATAGGGCTGAAGGGGACACACCCTTATGGGCCTGCTCAGCACTGACTTTGCATGGCCCAAGGAGCCCTGGGTGTGCTGGGCCAGCCCTGTGGTCTCCCTGGGCCCCAGGGCAGCCCCCACTCTCTCCATGACTACTACCAGACTTGGTATTCATCGGCATTGCCCAACCCCCCTGCCATCAGGCATCTGGCACTCCTGAGACGTGCATGTCCCCTCACTATCCAGAGGGCTGGAGACTGGCCATGGCCACCAGAAGCTGCAACCAGGTCCTGTGTGAAGGAAGACCTGCCCCATCTGCTCAGGGCCCTTAGGACGGAGGAAGTGTGGCGAGGGAGCTGCTCATGCTGGGAAATGCCCAGCCCCTCTCAGGACTGTCTTCTGAGCCCCCTCTGCTTAGCTTCCCATTGCAGGGGCCAGAGGCACGTGTTAGGCTGAGGGTGCGCAGGAACTCCTGCTACATGTGCACCGCCATCTAGTTCCAGGGAGGGCCCAGCTTAGCTGTCAGCCCTTGGCTGTGGCCACACTGGCTGTACCCTCCACACAAGCCTGACACCCAGGACTTTGAAGCTGGGAGGCCCCGTTGGCATACTGTAGGGGGTCCCACCATGGTTCTCCATGTCTTCAGGTACATCTGCCTGGGTGGCAGCACTGTCCCCTCACCCTCCGATGGAGTCCATGGGTACAGATGTCCCCCTGGCTTCCGATGTCCCCCAGGGGCCCACAGAGAGCTGCCCTGCGAGCCTGGCACCTTCAGCCCTCTGCCTGGGGCTGACACCTGCCTGCCCTGCCCAGAGGGCACCTACTGCCACCAGGCTGCCACTGTGGAGCCCACCACCTGCCCCAAAGGTAACATCTCAGGCTGGCCTGGCCCTGGCTTTGCAGGACAGGGAATATGGTGCCTTAGGGGCCCCAGCCCCCTGAGCTCCACTCCATCCAGAACTGCATGCCGGGTGTGGCCCTCAGCCCCCCCTCACTCCCACTGACCACCTGTAAAATGAGGCCAAATGCTGCAGGGCAGGGCGTGGGGGTGGGGGCCGTGGAGGGGCCACACCACCTGGGGCTATGCCAGCCCATCCCCTGTACAGTCTCACCTGTCCTCAGCCTGCTGCCATGCAGGGGTGAAGGCAGGAGGAGGACAATGGACTGTGTTGGGGCAGCCCCTGTGTTGCCCTTTCCCATCCCGAGAGGCAGGACATTTGTGTCAGCCCCTGCCCTGACTCTAAGGTGCTACTGCTCCAGGGCAGGCCCAACCCACCTGCAAAGTGGGGCCAGAGGCCCTGTGGGCCACCTCAGTGTGGGGGAAACTCCTCTCAGCCAACACCCCCAGAGAAGATGGCAGTGGGTCTGGCTGGAGACTCCGGGTCAATTCTTGGGCACCTGGTGGCCAGACTGTCAGGGGAATGCTGGGGGATGGGGACACATGGCCCCATGATTCCATGACAAGCTCTTTCCCTCTCAGAACCCCAAGGCCTGAGCACCCCTGCCGCTGGGCCACCTCTCCCTGCAGAGCAGCCTCGGACCTCAGGGGTCTGCACGTGCGCATGCACAGGCACGCGCCGACGCTCGCGCACGCATGCGCACGCATCCGCGCGCTCCCACACGCATGCGCACGCATCTGCGCACTGCCCCACATTCGCATTCATTTACACTCAGTCTCTGACACACTTTCACTCACACACGCCCGCACTCCTGTTTGCTCACACTCGCGCTCACACAGCCTCTCACACTCGCTCACGCCCACGGCTCTGCTGCCCTGACACACGGACCTCCTCCTGAGCCCCCACCACGGGCCTGGATTCCGGCCAGTGACCCCTTCCCGCCCTCCGGCAGTGACCTCGGCACCCTCGGGCAGCCCTAACTCGTCAGCCAGAAAGGACGGCAGGCTGTGGAGTGCGGGGGCCAGCCGCGCGGTCGGGACAGTCTGGCGCTCACCCTGGTCTCGCCTGCAGGTCACTACTGCCCAGCAGGGACGCCCTCCGCTCGCCCCTGCCCGGAGGGAACCCTGAGCCAGCGGGAAGGCGCCGTCTCCCCCAGGGCCTGCCAGCCCTGCCCTGCAGGGAGGTACTGCCCCGGCGAGGGCAACAGGCAGCCCGAGGGTAGGTACTAAGGTGTGGCCTGGGCTCTGGCCCACTGCACGGCCTCCTCCCTGCGGAGAGAACAAGGAGGCCACCAGGGCTCCTACAGGAGGGGGCCTGGTCCTGCCAGGACAGCCCCGGTGAGAGATGCGCCGGGCTCAGGGCAGGCTTTCAGTCACACGGAACACAAAACCGTGTCACTGCCTGCTCCCGGCGCTAGGGAGTCCTGCGGCCCTCAGGCCCTCTGGGATGTCCGCAATGTCCAGCTGCCCCACAGCGTGGCCACAGGCCTGGGTCTGGCCCTCCCTCCTCCTCCTGCCACTGCCTGCTCCTGCGCCCCTCCATCCCCAAGAGGCCTCAGCTCGTGGCCGAGAGCAGGGCTTCTGAGCCAGCTCTGGCCTCGTCCCCGTTGTGCTTCGTGCGAGGCTGAACTAGTCACTTGCCCTCTTGGGCCTCAGTCTCCTCCCTGTGAAATGGGCTGATCACAGCGCCCACCCTCACAGTTGCTGCGGAGACTGAGGTTCTTGCTGCCAGGCGGTCAGCCTGGTAGAGTCAGTGCCCACGGCTGTTCTCTCCTGTCGTCACTCCTCATGCCGCTGTGTCCCCCTGAATACCAGACACTAGAGCAGTGTGGAAGCCACCAGCCCTGGGCCACAGACACCATAGCTGCTCAGTAATTCCCATTTTCCCAACTTTTTCCTTCCTCCTACTTTAATTCCCATGATTCTCCATGGTGAGGGGTGGCAGCAGCGGGTGACAGGGACCAGGTCGGGGGCAAGATGTGGGCTTCCGTAGCCAGGCAAGTTCAAACGCAAGCTGGTGAGGCTTTCGTTCCTGCCCTAAAATTCTGCCTGTCTCCACACCCAAGGCCCCTGCTCTGCTGGCTACTACTGTGAGGGGGGTGCTGCAGGCCCCACGCCCCGGAGAAACTTCGCCTTCCCCCTCAACGGACCCTGCCCCCGCGGCCACTACTGTCCACAGGGGACTCCCTACCCGGTGCCCTGTCCCATGGGAAAGACAAGGAACAGCCCCGGTGAGAGTCTGCCCTGCACCCCACCCCACACCCCACCCCACATCCCCTCCCCTGCCCTGCCTTTCAAGTGGCCTCTTCCACGCTGTGTTCAGAGCTTTGTCCCACACTGGCCCTGCGGACAGAAACACCGAAACGAGGAGCCCCCGTTGGTCGGGTTCCCTGGTGACACCTGGCACCGAGCTGTGGACGGGAGGCCCCCAGGACAGGGCTGCTGCTCCACCTGCAGGCCGTGCCCTGGAAATGCGGGCAGTGCCCTTCCAGCTCTGTTCTAGCTGCAGGGTGGGGCAGTGAGCCCACAGTGAAGAGGTGCTTGTCCCCAGGGGGTGCTATTCCCAGGTGGGGACATGCAGAGCCCATGCACTGCCACCCTCCATTTCCAGGTGGCACCTCTGAGAGGAGCTGTGGGCCCTGCCCAGCTGGCTCCTTCTGTCCCAGCCTGGGCCTCGGCTCACCCACTGGGCCCTGCATGGCCAACTCCAGCTGCCCCTCGGACCCCAGGGCCTCCAGCCCCACGGCTCTCCCCTGCCCTCAGGTACCTCCTGGGAGCTTTGGGAGGGAGCTCAGCCCCTGGGGCTCTGGGAGGCTGGGGGTCCAGCTTGAGGCTGGAGCTCGACATCTGGCTATGGGTAGCAGGCTGCCCTCGGTGCCTCAAGGGAGGGACCCCGACACCCACATCCCTCTTTCCCAGATCTTTTCCCCAACTGCCCACTGAGCCTCCAGGCCCCTTGCCCTTCAGGCCCCAAGGCCTGAACCAGTGGGAAGGAAGCTCACCATGCTGACCCTCCTACCCTGAGCACCCCACCCACACCCAGCCTGGGCCTCAGAGATGCCTCTTTGTGTCCAATGCCCAGGGTCACTTCTGCCAGCCAGGGGCTGCTTGGCCTGCCCTGTGCCACCGAGGGCACTACCAGCCCTCCCTGGGCTCCGACACCTGCATCCCGTGTCCTCCAGGCTTTTACTGCCCGCATCCCGGCAGCATAGCGCCGAGGCTCTGCCCAGCACACGCCTACTGCCCAGCCGGTACGTCCTGGAGCCCTCAGCTCCCCACGCCTTCCGGGCCCTCTTCCTTCTCCCCAACACCCCACCAGCCTCCTTTCGTTCATCCATTCAAACCCAAGGACTGCCCACAGTGTGCCAGGCCCCGTGCTCACACTCTGGCTACTAGAGCTGAAAGCCCTCCTGCTCCCATCCTCCCTCACCCCTGCAGGCACCTCCTTCCTCCAACCCCACCCTGTCTTTTCTTCTCTTCATCTGTTTGAGTTTGAGTTCAGGTACCCTGCACACACTGTGCACAAGCCCACACCTGCACATGGACATGTTTATATCTGCACTCGCACACAGCTTCATGTACACACATGTGCACACACTCACACACGTATATGCTGCCCCAGGCAGCCCAACTGACAAATATGTGCCCACAAAAGATCATCATGCTTGTCATGTCTTAGGTAAACTTGGGAGGAACAGCTCCTGCCAATTATAGGAGTCGCATGTACATTAGCTTTGTAAGCATTTGATGCACAGGTGATGCACACATTTGATCTGCCCCAAGACTATGGGCTTAAAGGTGTATGTGCCCCATTTAACTGTGTGGCCTCTTACTCTAGAATGTTTAGAACATCCTAACTTTAAGGAAGCTGGCCTACTGTCCCCAGGGCCCCCACCTCTGCTGACAGTTCAGAAGAGAGGACGGCCCTGTGTGGGGAGCAGTGCCAACTCCCTCTTTGCTTCCCCTCACTCAACACTCACCTTTCAGCTTCTTACCTGCACTCCCGATCAGACACTTTTTAAAATTTTATTTTTTAGTAGATCAGTCTGCTCACATTAAAGCCTTTTCCCTGTGAGGGGCTTTCTTCTCTGACCTTCCATGCAGCGTGTGGTTGGTGTGCACCTGGCACACAACAAAGCAGCCCAGGTGCACCAAGGCAACGCTGAGGCTGACAAAGCCCGGCCACTGCTCCCAGGACCAGGGCCCGGTGGGCAGGGGCGGACTGGCAGCGTTAGAGGAGCAGGAACAGGCACAGGCGCCTCCCTCCAGCCAGGCTGGAGCAGCAGGCCCTGCGGAAGGAGGGGTACAGGCAGCTCCTATGTGGCACCCTCTTCCGTGTGGACAGAGGCGCTCAAGCTCAGTCCCAGCGAACCCGCAGGGTGTCTAACACACAGCAGGCGTCTCGCTCAGCCTGTTGGCTGGAGGCACCGCCCCGGCCCCAAACAGCTGTGTGGCTCTCTGACACTTCTCCCCTAGGGTTAGTCCTTCCTTTGTGATGGGCACAGGACAGTCGTCCTTGGGGAAGAGATGGAAGTTCTCTGGCGGTGATGTTCTCATGTCATTGCCCCCAAGAAGGCAGCACAAGACGACAGCACCATGGGGGCAGTGGGACTCTGAGGGGCAGGGCAGCAGGGAGCAGGCCACCCATCATGGATGAGTCCAGGAGGGGAGGTGGCCGAGCCCCAGGGGCCCATCTTCACTCGCTGTCCTCCCCCTCCTCCAGGGACGTGGTCCCCCTCTCTGTGTCCTCCAGGGACCTTCACTCCCCAGCACACGCTCGGCCTCCGGGAAGAGGGTGACTGCTCCACCTGTCCCCCTGGTCACTACTGCAGGTCAGTCACCACCCAGAGCCGTTCACCTCCTGCCACTGTGTCAGACCGCAGCATCCCCCAGCCCCCAGCCGTCCCATCCCGTCCTGTCCTGAGGCCGTGCACTGCGGGCAGCAGGACGGCCGCAGCCCGGGCTCAGGTGTGAGGCGCCCTCCTGGCTCCCCAGCCTGAGCGGGGAGGGCAAAGCCTGAGCATCCGGTAAAGAGAGCAGGGACAATTAGCACAGACGTGGATATGTTAAAAGTATCTACTCGAAAAGCAAAATGCATTCAAGTGAGGCAGGATCAGGGTGAAGTGAAAATACGTCTGCTCGTTCCTGACTCAACACGGGAAGCTCCTTACAGGCGAAATCACCCGTCTCGGGTGGATCCAGGAAACCGGACCCAACTGGGGTCCGGCCTGAAGCCCAAGTGGGCTCTTGGCATCGTGTAGGAAAGAATCAAGAGTGAGCTGATAAAGTAAGGTGAAACCAAGTTTATTGAAGTAAGTAAAGAAAGAAGGGGAGCTGCCCCATAGACAGAGCACTGGCAACTGAGAGTGGTACTTTGTGCATTTCCAGGATCTTATTTTATACCTTCTATTTAATTATGTTAAGTGGAAGGAGTATTATACGTAAGATTTCTGGGAAAGGGGGTGGAAAGTTCTTGGAACTGAGGGTCCCTGCTCTTTTTAAACCATACAATTAACTTCCTGGGGAGGGGGGGAGTTGTCATGGCATTTGTAAACTGTCCTGGGGCTGGTGGGAGTATTTTTAGTAGCTACTGCATTATAAGCAGGGTATGATGAGCAGTGAGGTAACCTGAGGTGGTTTTTCGTGGGCTTCTTGGCTCTTGCTGGTTTTGGTGGTTTCTCTACCTCCTCTTGTTTTATCAGAGACCTTGGTTCGGGTCTCGTGGAGCAGGGCCTGCCAGTTCCCTGTCTCAAGGTGACACCGGTGTTCTGCATGTACACTGGGGGAAAGATGACATTTCTTCCTTCTACTTCTATTTCCAAATTTTCTGCAATATGAAAAGCTATTGTAATCATTTGGTCTGGGAGAGATGATAAATGGTACCTTTAAACAGGATGATGAGAGCCCCGGTTTAGGGCATCCAAATTCCTCCTGAGTGTCCTGTGCCCACTCGGTGGGTGTGGGTTCTCCATCTGGCTTCCCCATTTGGGCAGTGGGATGTTCTTGCTGGAGGAGTAGAAGTCACAGGAAGAACTCTGGATTTGGGGTTGGAGGCTCACAGTCTGCAGGGTGGGGGTTCCCTGTCTCTCACAGTGACTCTGGGCCCACAGCCCCAAAGACACCCACAGCACACTGGGGCTCCAGCCTGGGAATGTCCCAGTGCTTGCTGAAGGCAAACACTCCCAATTGCCCAGGACGGTGTAGAGGACATCAAAGTAGCAGCTGCCCCGTATTCTGTGCAAAAGTGACCCTGCTTCAGAGCAGATTCTTTCCATTAAGGTGATAGCAGAGGGTTCCCCAGGCCCTTTCTGGAAGTGGGTCCCCCTCTGCTCAGAAGTTCATCTGTAGCTCCAGCCTGCTTTCTCCTACTGCAGAGCTGGAGATTAGACTCAGGGCTGCCTGGGAGCCAGGCCTAAGCCCACAGGGACCCGGCAGGCCTGGGGCATCCCAGGGACAGTGCAGGAAGCAAGTGGGACACCTGCTGGTCCCCTCCATCCTCGTTTCCACAGCAAGTGTAGCATGGCCCCCGAGCTCTCCAGGCAGGTTTGTCCCGCTGTTGACAGCAAGTCTCTCCTGTCCGCTGAGCTCCACCAACTTGGTGGAGGGAAGCTACGCAGGGATCCATCGCGTGCTGGCCCTGGGCCTGGGTCTCAGCCTCTCGCCCTGCTTCTCCCCGTGCCTCACCGTGTTTGTGTTGTATATAGGGCTGTCGGCCTAAAGGGAAGAGGCTGAGGCACGAAATATAGTTTAAAGAGTTTACTGGAGCCAAAGTGCGGACAGCAGCCCAGAGGACTCAGACCCAAGCGACCTTGGCTATGAGCCCCATCAGGCCTTTGTTACAAACAGGTTTTTAAAGGCCAAAAGAAAGAGGGACAGGGAGTGGGCAGATACAAAGTCTTTTGTCAGGAATTCTCGTTGGTTTACAGAGATAACATTGATTGGTGAGTGGCTATGCATCGTTAAGCTATAGGGTGTGGAGTATAGTGTCTGTTGTCATCATTAGCTTAGTTTATAGCTACTTGTGGCAATAGCAAGCAGTTTCAAGAGATAAATACACAGCTATAGCTCAAAGTGGGGGGAGGGGAGTGGGACGTAATTGCTATCTCATTTTGATGGATCTCTGGGCCTGATCCTGTAAAATGACTCACATTCCTCAGATAAAAGCTGTTTTCTCGGTGCAGACTCACATGTCCTCTTGGGGCACAGGCAAGGGTGGCTCAGTCTGTGGGTCCCAGTGAACGCTGAAACCCAGGTGGGCTCTTCTCCAGGGCCTGGGCAGGGGGCTCAGGGCTCAGACTAGCCCCTCCTCCCTAGGGTTCTCACTCTTCCCACTCTCCTTGGCTGTTAGAGCCGGACAGGTCTGGGGAAAATGTCCTGCTGGTTACTTCTGCCCACCTGGCACATCTGAAGTGACGACACCAGGTCCCAGGAAGCCCCAGACGCCGTGTCCCCAGGGAAAGCTGTGCGCGGAGCAGTGTCCACCAGGTAACAGGCCTGCGTCTTGCTTGTGGCTGTGAAGGAGGCACGGGACCCAGCTAGGCCAGGGCTGTTTTAATTGTCACGAGCTGACTAACAATAAGTGATGCTAGTTGTACTTCTAACGTGCACATGTGCACATGTGTGTGTGCAACGTGAATGTGCACCCAAGGCAATTCAGATGGAAACTGATTTGACAAATGCACAAAGTAAGTGGGGCCAGGACTAAGGTCCAGATCTCTCAACTCCTGGCCAGTAGAAGAACCCCTCAGGCCACCCTTGGAGATGGGTCCCGCACAGTCCTGGCACTGTCCCCACCCTGCCTCCTGCAGGCCCCACTGTGTCCCCCCTGTGCTTTAGGATTTTACTGCCCAGAAGGCAGTGGAGAGCCCATCCTGTGTCCACCTCACACCCTGGTGGCTGCCCCTGGAGCCCAGAGGAAAGAGGACTGTGGGCCTTGCCCTCCTGGGCGCTGGTGCAAAGCAGGTGAGGCTGTGGGACAATGGGACCTGCGTCACAGCCTGGCATGTGCTGCTCCCTGAGGAGGCCATGCTGGGGAGGAAAGTGACTGTAGCCCTTGCTCTGCAGGGGTCCTGGACACACAGCCCTGTCCCTCTGGCCACTACTGCCCAGGAGGGAGTGAGACCCTCCCAGGAGTCCCCCAGGCCTGTCCTGAGCATACCTACCTGGCCACAGAAGGGGGCCAGAGTCAGGTGGAGTGCCTCCCCTGCCCCGCCGGGCACCACTGCCCATGGCCAGGTGAGGGCTTGTGTGTAGGCTGGATGCTGAGGCCTTGGGGAGCAGAGGGCAAAGGCTGCCAGGAGGCCCTGGGAGCAGCCCTTCTTTTCCTGGTGCTTTTGCCCCCAGGTCTCTCTTCCTTCGAAGACCACCCGTGTCCTCCAGGGTACTGGTGTCCAGGGAACCAGGGTCCCCTTCTCTGCCCACCTGGCACCTTTCGGGCTGAGCCAGGGGCATCAGCGCCAGAAGACTGTGAGCTCTGCCCACCTGGCTACTACTGCCCCGATGTGGAACTTAGAGGCCATGCAAATGTGTTTCCTGTCCCCTGCAGAGCTGGATCTGAATGCCCTGCAGGTGAGGCTGCACAGTGCTCCCCAGCCCCACTCTCCACCCCTCACCGCTGAGGCCAGGGGCTCAGAGGGACACCCTTATTGAGCTCCGGCGACAGGTGTGGCACAGCCACCTGCTCATCCTGGGAAAGCCCTGGAAAGGCCCACGCAGTCTTTGGTGGTCTCCACGCCACCTGGATCTCCCCAAGACCAGTGCCCCTTGGAGCCCGCTTTTCCCGTCTGGGCCAGGGACGAGGCTGGCCAGAGGTTTGACTAGAAACAGCAAAGCCCAGGACAAAGTGTTCTGTGCCCCTAGGTCTCGGGGCGCTGCAGAAACCTCCCTCCACCCTCTGAGAGCTGGGCAGGGCGTCCTGCAGGAAAGGAGGAGGCTCCTGGGTGGGAGCAAGTGGACTGTGTGGTGGGCTTGTGTCCTGGGGTGCAGCAAAGGCACCCCTGAGCCTCCTGGCAGGCCTCCAGCCCATGCCGGGACAGCAGGTAGGGCCTGTGTGGCGGCAGGGCTCCGGGACAGCGCTCAGGGAGGGGTGCGGAGAGCTGAGACGTGTAGCTCCAGCTGCAGCGCACAGGGAGCATGTGACGGCTTCCTTCACGGGCGAGCCAGGGCCTCAGTGCTAACCACCCCATGCTGGCCTCGAGGAAACTGCCACCCCCACCCTCACCGTAATGTGGGGCCGAGGCCTGTGGCCCCCAGAACTTTCCTGAAACAATCAACTCACAAAAAGCTGAGTAGTTGGAGGAAAGGCATACAAATTTATGTAACCTATATGCAGGGAAGGCTTCAGGATGAAGACCCAACCCACCAAATGGGCAAGGAAGCTTATATACCTCCTTGAGGTTCAGAAAGAAGCGGGTGGGGATCCTACAGAGCAGGCCATGGGAGGGGAGAAGAGGAATCTGCTCAGGGGCAATGAGTGATCATTAGGGAAAGCGGGCAAACGGGGAACAGAGTTCAGCTGGTAAATAGTTCTCTGGACTATGAATAAATCTGAGGGACAGACATCACCTAGTAAAAGGACGAGTTCAGGTGTAGTTATGGTCTTGGTCTTCCTTTTTGCAATACATAATGAGATAACAGACAGGAAGAAAAAACAACTGTTCTCCTTGGTGGGTTTGAACTATAGGCAGAAGGAACTTAAGAGAACAACTTTATCCTAAGCACTGAGAGAGACGATGTGGGGAGGAGAAGGGCAGAGGGACTTGAGGCTTCTTCAGTCCAGCATGTCAAAATTTCTTATTTGGGGGCATTAGTTTCTGAGCCCCAGCACTCAAAATGCACACTCCAACTGGCTCCAAAAGGATCGTGGGAGCCACTTGTCATTTGACCTTGTATGTTCATGGCTGCACCTGTTATGAACCAAACTGGGGTCTGGCCCACCTGGCGCTGATGCCGAGATTTGCAATGAAAGAAAAAGGTGTTTTATTGCACGGCACCCGGCAAAGAGAACAGGCAGCCAGTGCTTAAGACCCTGATTCCTGATGGCTTACAGGCTCGTGTTTTCAAAGGTGGGGTATGTTTCAGGAAGGCAGAAGCTGCAGGCAAATTCGTAGATCAACACATGGAGGTTATACCTTGGTTTGGACAAAAACAGGCAGAATATCTTGAAGCAGGGGCTTGTGGGTCATGGGTGGACTCAGAGATTCTTTAATTAGCAATTGGTTAAGGAAGCAAGGCCAGGTCTAAAACTTGGGGTCAACAGAAAGGAATGCTAAGGTGGGTGTGACTCTCTCCAAGCCCCTTAGGGAGGAATTCAGAACAAAGAAGGGTGGTCAGAGTTCAGTCCTCAGTTCCCCCTTACCTGCATTTTCCAGCTGGCAGGAGTTTCTGAAAAAACAGAATACATGTTAAAATGTTACTAGTCCACACAGGAAAGTAAACACCTCCTGAAGCTGGCTGGCTTGGGGGCTGCTGTTGTTACTATCTGCTTGCCCAGCTGGTTGTCATTTACTCTTCAAATGCCTGGAATTTCTCTTGAAGAAACCCAAGATTTTTCCTTTATTTTCTTCCTTGGGGCGTCTGGCAGTGCTCTAAGAGGGGTCCCTGCTCCATCTCACACTGCCCAGACATGTCCCCCTCCTTGACCACACCATGCCCTCCCTCCACCACTACCCACTCCTGCCCCTCCCTGGTCCCCCCCACCGCGTCAGCCTCCACCCCCTGCTTTCCTCCCCACCCAGGCCCCACTTGGGAACCTGGGGACCCTCCTGGGTTCTCCTCCGGCTCTGTGCCTTGCAGACTCCAAGTGCCACTGGTGGGGGAAGGGGGTGACTAGGTGTGTCCCTCACTCCATGCCAGGACATGGTCCGCTCTTCCTGCATCCTGGTCCTGTCTCTCTCAGGTGCTGCGGCTGAGGTCCCATGTAGGGCTGGCTCCTACTGTGGGCCCCAGACTGGGGTCCCCCCACTCTGCCCTGGAGGCTACGCCTGCCCTGCTGGCTCCTCCTCCTACAGTGGCCCTGGGCAGCGGTGAGTCCCCTCCCCCACCCACATGACTCCAAGGTCTCATGAGTCCCCTCCCCAACCCAGGTGAGTCTGAGCCCCCTGAGTGCTCTCCCCCACCCTGCCCGGACACCACTGTCACTACCCTGTGTGAGTCTCCACCATGACACGGCCTACTGCCCTTCAGAAGTCCAACCAGAGACAAGTACTAGGTAGCCCTTTGCTTGGCCTTGGCAGCTAGCGCCCAGCCCCTTCCTCTGCCAGGGGGGAGGCAGCGGATCTCACTGGCATGCCCTCCTCAGTTTCCAGGCCCATCCTGGGAGGGGCTGCCAGATGGGGCAAATAAAAATACAGGACACCCAGTGGCATTTGAATTGTGGGTAAACAATAATAAATTGTTATTATAATTATGATGCATGCAATATTTGCAAAGTAATTATACTCAAAATGTGCTCATTGTTTATCTGAAATTCAGGTATGACTGGGCATCGAATATATCACCTAGTAAACCCAAGCCTGTGTCTGGGGTCGACACTCTCCACAGTCAGCTCTGCTCCACACACCCCTGCTCAGGCTTAGGTGCGCAAAGAGCACCTGCCTGAACACCTGGGCAGTGCCCAGCCTCCTCCAGGAAGGCAGCTTGGCCGCTGAGGCCCCATCAGACACAGGGCAGCCCCGGGGCCCCTGACTGGGATAATATCACAGTTCCCTCCCCTGGCAGCTGAAGCCCCAAGCTGGGGGCTGTCAGGCCCTGCTAGTGATAGGAGAAGCAACTGCACACCCAGACCCCATCAGCATGACCCGGGGCCGGGGGCCGTGTCTCTGTGCAGTTGCGTGTTCCCTCACTACTGCCCACCGGGCAGCGCCCACCCTCGTGCCTGCCCGGGGGGCTCTGAGGCCCTGAATGGGAGTGGCCTCAGGGTCTCCGAGGAGACTGGCTGTCGCCTCTGTGAAGCCGGCACCTACCGCAGCCAGGCACTGGACACCCTGCCCTGCACGCCCTGCCCACCCGGGTTCAGCTGTCCTCAGGGTAAGTTCTGGGAAGCCTGACACTGAGCGGGAGGTGACAGAGCTCAGTGAGGAGAGCGGAGGTGGCACATGGGGAAGGCTCCACAGGGCCTGGGAGCACCTGGAAGCCTGCAGGGGGAGGGCCTGGACCAGCCCACCTATTCCAGAGCCAGAATATGGGCAGACGCGGTGAAGGGGCACACCCAGCAGGCAGGTGCTATCCGTCTCCGTAAAGCAGACTGTGTGATGCTCTTTGCACATCAGCGTGCTGGAGCAGTGCCCGACACCCTGCCCTGCACCCGGCGAGAGGGTGGTGGAGCCCGTGCTGCGTGCCCAGGAGACTGGGGGAGTGGGGGGCATTGGGGCTAAGGGGGGATATGATAGTGTACAGGGCCCTCTGCTGTCCCCCACAATCTGGATTCATCCCAACTTCCTGTGCTGCCCCCCCCCCCACTCCTGCAGCAGCGCGTTCTTCCCCTGGATGCTCCCTGCCAGTGCCCAGTCCCTGCCTCAGCCAGAGTCCAGGGCTCAGAATTTCCCCTCTGTCTTCCTCCAGGGTCAGAGAGCTACCACGGCCAGCCCTGCCCGGTGGGCCACTACTGCCCTGAAGGGACTGGCAGCCCCAGGCCCTGCCCAGCAGGGACCTTTGGAAGCAGCAGTGGGGCTGGGGCCGCGGGGGAATGCCAGCCCTGCCCCGCAGGCACCTTCAGTGCCCTGCCCGGCCAGGCGGGCTGCCTGTCCTGTGGGAGCTCCGCTGCTTCTCCCCTGGGTGAGTCTCAGGCTGCTGCCCAAATGGCCAGTTGCTCCTCTGTTTCCTGCAGCTTTGAGGGTCCACGGTGTAAGGTTTCAGGAAAGATCCAACCTCTTGCTGAGTTACGTTAGAAGAGCTGTAGGGTGAGACACAGCCTCTCTGTGACTCCCAGGAGCCGCTGTGTGGAGCATGTGGATGGAACGAGTGTGCGTGCCTGCAAGGACGCCAGCAGGCAAATCCGTGGACGTGAGAACCGGTCTAGACAGGCTGAGCCACTTCCTCAGGCTGGCTTGGCTGACAGGGCCAGGCCCGCTCTGAGACTGTCCAGCATGGCTGAGACGCTGCATCTGCTCTGGGGGCAGCAGCCTCGGCCCACTCTGCCCAGTCCATCCCTGTCCCAGGGTCAGGGGCAGAGCTGCAGGGACAGCTCCAGCCTCAGGCCAACGGCTCCCTGCTCATCCCTTCACCTCTCTCCATTTCGAAGGTGTGGTGTTCTCACGGTCTTTTCCGTGGACCCATTCGCATACAGTCCGCTATGCAAACAGAAGTAGCCAGGTAATCTCACAGTGGATGATAAGAATCACATCTGTCATACATATTCAGCCTCAAGCCTCAATGGGAAGAGGGCCGACCCCAGATCTCTGCTGAGTTAGCAGGCTTCATCTCTGCAGGCAATAGGAGCGCTGACTACATGCCAGGCACTAATTACATGTGATCCTCATGACAATTCAACAAAACAGGCACAACTACCATCATCCTTGCTTGACAAATATGCAAACTAAGGCATAGAGACTTTAAAGAACTTCCCACATTCAGTTAGTGGCAGAACCAGGATTTGAACTCAGTCTGGCTGACTCCCAGGTTCCTCTCTCAACCCGTACACTGTGCCACCTTCAGACTGCCAGACAGCATGATTTGAGAGGCCCAGGAATTCTGCTATCCTTTCCTTTAGTCTGGATAAGGCATTCTATTTCTCCCATGACCAAGTCTCTGAATCCTGTGATACTCTCCCATCACCTGGAGATCAGGGGCTGAGTAAAATGGGATAACAGTATAGTTGTCCCTCCTCCCATAGGTATGGAAGCATAACTTTGAGAGTAGGGAATATGTAACAGAGGGAATGGCCTTAAAAAAAAAAGAAAGAAAAAAAAAACTGGCAAAAATGTTTTCTGTCTCTTTAAAACTTCCCCCACTCTTTTTGGGAGCTCTGGCCTGGCCTGCATCCCTGCAGCAGGTTAAGTCTTTTGTTACAAGAGAGGTGCCAGCCCCACAGGTTGGTCCAGGTGAGGCTTTGTCTTTGGCAGAGATGGGACTATTAACCATGATAGCCTAGAATTGAGGGACACTCCCTTTAAAAGCTTGTTATTTCTGCTAATGTTGAGGAAATTAGGATTTTGAGGTGAGAAGTTCTACCGTTTTTCCTTCTTTGCTGGCAAAATAGTAAACTTCTCTTTCCTTCCCCTCAAACCACTTATTCTTGTTCTTCTGCTGTACTCTTGAAGAAAAGTATTGAGCTTCCAGTAATAATTTGGATAACAAATTACTCATGCTATCTCTTTTTATCATGTCTTTTGCACTATCTTCTGCATTTTTCATATCTAATTTTCTCTGTGGTTTTATTCGATAGTTTTTTAGACCTGTGTTCCACTTTATTAATTTTATCTCTAGCTCCGTATAACCTCATATTAAGTGCACTATTGATATTTTAATTTTTGTTACTGAGTCTTCTATTTTATTATTTTATAGTTCCCTATTCTGTGTTGAAATTCTCCATCTTGTCATTTAATTTATCAAACATACTAACCACAGTTTAAAGTACATGTTACGTCTGATAACTTTAACGTTTGGATCCTCTGAGAGTCCTGTCTGTTTTTGTTTTTTTTTTCTCTTGATTTCTTAGCAATTCTTGTTATTTTGCATGCCTGGTTACTTTGTATTGAATGGGAGATATTGTAATTGAAAATTGTAGAGAAAATTTGCAATTTGGATGCTGCTACCATCCTCCAGAGAGGAATTATTTTTATTGTAGAAGGTAGTTACCATAGGTAATACCATCACATTGAGGGTTAGGATTGCAAATATTAATTGTGGGGGACATAAGCATCATACCGTACCATCAGCCTCTCACCTGTATCTGTTGAAGCAGCAAATGCCTGTAGCAGAAATGTGGCACCAAATGTCAAAAACATCCATCTGCATTTTCCTTCTCTCCAGACTTTTTTTTCATTAAGTCCTCGATGAAATTCTCCGTTACTTCAAACAGATGTTTTCTATATATGTTTCTACATTTTCTAGTTACACATCTTAGCAGAATTGGTCTGAAATAAGCTATTCTGCCATTGCCAAAGGTATAAAAAGTCTTATTTATTTTTTTATCTTTTAAGTATATATACTTTTTTAAACTCTGTCTTTCCCTTTGGGGATTAGGTAGAGAGTTTTTTAAGTTCATTTATTTTAAAGTTTATTGAAGAAAACAGACATCCCATCATTCTCTGTAGCACAAAGGCACTATAAAAGATACTAAGATAGGCATAATAGGGAGAAAGAAAAAAATGCACCCACAGGTGCCAGAATTGTCTAGTACACGAGACAGGACCCCCAAACCCTGGACATTCAAAATGGGAAGAAAATGCTTCTGCATGGCAATGTCAGAAGAACTTTATGAAAAAGTATGTTTAAATTTGTCGGTGTAAAATAATCAAAAGAAACTAGTTTAAAGAGAGATTATTCAAACACAAAATTTAAGGCCAGTCACCCAGAAAGCATAGACTTTGAAGAATGAAAGTCAGTGCTCCTTGCACTTGTAAAGAGCAAGCAAAAAATAATAATAATAATAATTTTAAAAAAAGAAAGAAAGTCAGTGTTCCTAAGTCTAGAAGTTTGGTATCATTGATACAAATAAAACATGGGGGCGGGGGGTGGGGGGCGCCGTTTAACAGAATTTCAACATCTTTCTATGTAGGGCTTAATGCAAAGTTACAGTGACCTGATTTTTTCTTTCAGGAAAGGTATATTTACCATTCCCCAGGGAAGATGTAATAGTCATGGGGTCTTGGGAGCCATGCGGTCTGAGGTAGAGGATGATAAAAGAGGAAGTTAATCTATAATAAAAATCAGTGATTGGAAGGGGTAGGTCTGGTCTCTGGTCTCTTTTAGTGATTTATAGAATAAGAAAAATGGAGAGTTAATCTATACTCTTGGAAGCAAAATTGCAAACATTCTATGTAACTAGTTACCCAGGTCTTAACTTACCCCTTTGAGTAATAAATTTAGAAGGTCCTGAAATTTTATCTTATTTTACAAACCGAGTCTTGAAGATAAGTAAATTTTTGTGGGTTGACATAGTAGGGCGACATATTTTTAAATGATACTTTTAATTTAGATCTCTGCTTAATTCTACAGCCACAAAGGCCAGGCCAGGGTTTCAGACTTCTGTTTCAAGTGTTCTTTAACAATGGAACACTTTTCCAAAAGAGTTCTTACTTAAGGAATTAATACAAAACATGTAAAGCACAGAGGCTTGGATTGAAGGAAGGGTGAGGTCTCAAGAGTGCTCCTATCTGGTCCCTCGTTCACCCAACGAGACGCTGCGGCACCTCTGTGGAAGCACAGGGCTCCGGAAGCCGAGTCTGAAGCCGGGTGCTTTGGGCCACGAGAAGAGACGTTGGCCTCCTGGATCACATGGGTCATAACAGTGCACAGGGCCTCAGCGGGGAGCTGAGACTATTAGAGAGGGTTTGACTATCCAGAACCTGATGGGGGAGGGGACATTCCATGTGCCGTGGCTTTGCTACCTCCCTCCCTTCTCTACAGTGGAAATAGTCCTCTCTCTTTTTCATCATCCCTCAATTTCTTTGGGGAATGAACACGGCCACGTCAGCAAAACAAACGCCAGCTTTCCACCAGCTAGTTCCACAAGCCCTGCTGAGGGGCCACAGGACACCGCGTGTGTGAGTGTGTTCTGCGGCAACATGACAGAGTCTTCAGAGGAGTGTTTTCGGGGCTCCCCGAGCAAATACCAACGCCAACAGTGGCAAACAGGCCGAGTCGCAGGGACCCCAGTCTGCCACCTGGTCCCAGTCATCTCCTCTCCCCCAGAAGACAAATCCAGCTGGACTCCTGGTGTCTTCCAGATAAATCGGGAACTTTCCCCCTGCTCACCTTCCTGTCCTCCTGGCTTTCCCCATCAAATCTGGTCCATCCTTCAGGCTTTGGTGTCTGCAGATCTCTCTCCTCCTGTCATCTGGAGACAGCAGCCTGTGCCCATGCTTTGGGACTGTCCCATGCAGCTTTGTGTGACCACGTGTGAGAACGAGGCCTCCTGTGCGGGGTGTGGTCCTATCGATGGCATCACCAGTTCTCAGCCCAGGCTGCACATCTAGCGCCCAGGAGCCTTTTACAAAGTCTCACTGCTAGGTGCCTGTGAGGCCACGGGACTTCTCTATCCCCAGGTGCCTCCAAATGTACTTGCCGGGGCCTGAACAGGGTCTTCCAGAAGTCAGATGGTTCTTGCATCTGCCAGGCAGGACATGTGTCCTATGACAGCAGGGGCCTGGAAAGTGAAGATGAAGAGGACGGCAGCGGCCATGAGGACTGCCAGCCCCAGGTGAGGCCCTGCAGCCCCAGATGCAGGCAGGCAGGGGTGAGGGGAGGCAGGAGGGTGAGGTCTGGGGAGGCCTCTGGGCTTAGACACTTTTGCTCAGGCTTTTGGCTCTTGTTTGGGCCTTTGAGTCCTAGGCATGACCTGCACAAGCGAGGAGACCTCCCTTGACCTCTCAACACAGCGTTAGCATCGTGAAGGACCTTAGAGTAACTCACCAGATTACTCCCCACTGCTGCGTGCGTGTGTGTGCGTGTGTGTGTGTGTGTGTGTGTGTGTGTGTAGGCAGAGCTGCCCCTGAAGGGGGTGACCATGCCCTGTGCCCATGTCCCGGCCCATCCCAGCTGGCAGGAAGGGCCATGTCCCACGTGGCCTGGAAGCCAGCAGAGGAGCACAGTGCCCCCTCCCCAGGCATCAGCCTTGGGGGCGGCAACTTGAGAGCCACTCCCTACAAGGCCAGCTCTGGAGCCACTAGAGCAGATTTCTTTTGAAAAAGCAGCAACTTCTTTAGAGGGGCTGCTTCATGCAACCATGCATTTGGTGCAGAAAGTCCTCCGTGCTGCCGCGGCTCACAGCCACTCCTGGATGGAGCACACCCGCCCCCTCTCCCACTGCAGGCCCCACCTCAGACAACCCCTGTCGGTCCAGAGGTTTCCCCTTTGACCCCAGATCTCCAGTTACCGGTCAGTCCAGTCCTACATTGGAACAACAGGCAGGACCCCAAGGGTGGCCTAGGCCACTGAGGCCAAGTGGGGAGCACTGAGGCCCACACTTTGCCTCTTCTCCTCTCTACCCAGCGAGGCAGCTATACCCTCCCCTTGAAGACCCTGCTGCTGGGAGGGAGAAAAGTCCACAAGATGTGCCAAGCTGTCTTAGCTCCACCAAATGGAGGCAGTCACCAGCTCGGGCTGCGACCCCCTGCTCTGTCCAGCCCTGGCAATGGCCCCCCAGTCTGTCCAGCCCTGGCCACGGCCCCCCACTCTCTCCAGCCCTGGCCACAGCCCCCTACTCTGTCTAGCCCTGGCTTCAGGCCCACACTCTGTCCAGCCCTGGCTGCGGCCCCCCACTCTGTCCAGCCCCGGCTGGCGTTCAGCATCCTTACAGCCCCCAGCTCACCTGGCCCTTACTTTCCAGCAGCCCCTCCCTCTCTTTTGCACAAATGGCTCTGCACTCTGCCTTCCTCTAGCCCGGCGGGCCTCGAAGGGTAGTCTTTGCACCAGCAGCAGCAGCATCACCTGGACATTTGTTAGAAAGGCACGCTCACAAGCCCTACTCCAGGCCCACTGAGTGAAACTCCAGGGGTGGGACCCTGCAATCTGCATGTCCACAAGCCTTCCAAGTGCATCTGGGAACCTCTCATTAACCTCCCCCACCCCAAGTCTGGGCTCAGCTGCGAGCCCTCAGCGTGGATGGGGAGCTGGCCCCGCAGAGCAGCCTGGGCATCCCTCCCTCAGGCCAACGGGCCCTCCCTCGGGCCAAGGCCAGGGCCCCTACAGGCCCCAGGACGCAGGCTCTCTTCCTCCCTCCTCCCCTGTGGCCAAGAACACCAAGTCCCTGTTGGTATTCTGCTGCCCTCCCTCCCTCAGGGCTGAGTTGCCAGAACAGCCTCCTAACCAGCTCCTCTCACTCCGGAGACCAGGACACCCTCTGAGCCAGCCCAGACACGGCCTCCAGCCCTCCAGCCCCAGCGTCCCCACGGCTCCTCCGTGCCCTGCGAGCTTGGCGCACACTGAGTGTCCCCTCCTGGCCCCTGTGGGTCAGATCTGCTGCCTTTACCCCCGAAGAGGTGGAGAGGCTGGCAGGTGACGTGGCCACACACAGCACAGGAGGCAGAGGCAGGGCTACTGCTGACATAGGATCCCAGTCAGAGGCGTTTGCCCCATGGAAATCATCCCTGATTTTAACAGGCAAACTCCCTCATCCCTGAGAGGCCGAGGCTTCTCCCAGCGGCCCCCTGCCCCGGCCAGTGGCAGGCCAGGCACGGGGTCCCCTGGCGGGTCCCAGAGTGGATCTGCTCAGGACCACCTGCTGGGGCGCAAGAAGGAAATATCCAAGCCACCTGCCTTCCTTTTTTTCTTCTCATTGCTTTTTCATTTATATTTTAATATATATTTCAAATACAGTATAGCATACATTATATTTTTATAGTAATTTGTTACTCTTGGTGGAGCAAGATCAAAAGTTTGGCTACCACTGGCCTAAAGAGTCGGGCTGTTCAGATGGGCATGTGTCTTCCCTGACTTCACCCCCGGGAAGGAGGCTGCAGCTCCCACCTCCCTCCATCCCAGACCCACACTTCGAGGAGGCAGCCCGGGAAACTGCAGAGACGGCCTCGTCTAAAGCTGCTTTCTCTTGCAGACCTCCACACCAGCCCGGAGAGAGAATGTGCCTGTTCTCCTATTACACTGGTCATTCTGACCTCTGAACTGTCCTCTCTCTGCAGTGTCTTCCGGTCATCCTACTTCACAATGTCTCACCATCACCACCTCCAGGAAGCCTTCCCTGACTAGCCCCCCTGGTAGAGTCCCAATCATCTCCCCAAGGCAGCCAACTTGCCTTCTGTTACTTTTGTGGGTTCCTTCTACCCAAGCTTAACCCTAGTCTTAGCACAGTGACTCAGTGACCTCCTCAGAAGAGCCCAGCTCCCCTGAGGCCCTGCCCCGTGTTTCAGGAATGTTCTTTGATGCGGAGAGTATCCCTGCCCAGCCCTGCAGAAGTGCCAGGGCCAAGGCTCTCCTCTGACACCCTCTACAGGTCCCTGAGCGCTGTTTGCCTGGAGGCGTCCGCCTGGCTGCCACCCGCAAGTGTGCGTCCCCCCAGCAGCACGACTGTGCCTCCTTCTGCCACCCGGGGGGCGGGGAGCTCAGCGCTGAACTGGGCATGTGAGTGAGAAAAGTCACCGAGAGCAGAATGAGTCCACCCTCTTCTGGCAAGTCCCCGCCATCCCCAGAGGGGCCAGCTGAAAGGTGTCAGTGGACCCAGCCCTGATGGGAGCTTAAGCCGAGTGCAAGCTCCTTCCAGAAGCTACCCTGGGTCAGGATTCCCCCAGGGGGCCTGGCCAACACCAGCCAGGGGATGCAGCCCAGTGCTGAGGGCGTTCTGGCCCCACGAGAGAGTGGGCTCAAGGCCCCTGAGCCAACTGCAGCAGCTGACTCTGACCACATGCCGAGCCCAGAACAGCCCCAATTCTGTCCTCAGCTCTAATCCTCCTGCAGACTTGCAGACTGTGCAAAGGGGGGAGCGGTTGTCATCTGAAATCAGCAGGAATATTCCAGACAGACAGGCTCTCTCTCCCCAGGCTTGCCTGAACAGGACCCCAGAGCAATGATGCTGAGCCCATCAAGGGCTCCTCATTACAACATGGCTCCCATTCTAGGAGACACCCAGGCTCCTACGGCCTGGCTGGGCATAGCAGAAGCAGGGGCAGGAGGCCACACCCTAGCAGTCATCATCGACCTCCATTAGAAGTGCAATTGCTACTAAGGTAGCAGACAGCTCACTTCCCTTGGGAAAGGACTGAGGGCCGATCCTTCATTCCCAGAGAAACTGCTGATTGCTCGGGGTCAGGGTCAGGGGCCGCCCTCCACCCTCTGGTCTCCCGCAGGTGCAGATGTCGGGAGTACGTCTCGGCAGAAGAGCTCTGTGACACCGAGTGTCTGGCCAGGGCCCCCCAGCTCTCCCTGGCCTGGGGTCCCCGCAGGAAGCTGATACTCAGCGTGAAGAATGAGGCTGGGGACAGTGTCCAGAGGGTGAGCCCTGCTGCCCAGTGGCTGGGGCAGGAGGCAGCCTTTGCCAGCCGGGGGTCGGGGAGCTGGAGGTTCTCAGGTCCAAGTCTAAAGAAACCAGGCGGCAGACAAGAAAGCCCACTTGGTGATCGTTCTTCCCTCCTTGTCCTGCTGTCTGCATAATTTTCCATTCTGTGGGCAGAAGGAAAGGGTGGGAAGGAGGCAGCAAGTGGTATTTTGTATGGCCTGTCATCCTTTCGGTGTGAGTGCCAGATGGGGCCTTAGAGAGCATCACCTGCACTTCCCAGACGTGTGCAGCAAGGCCTAGAAACGGGGGACATGCACTGTGGTCAGTGATGGTGTGAGCCCTGCTCTCACTGACCCTGCACCTTTCAGTCCTAGCCTGGACCTCTGGCCACAGGGCAGGGCTGTGTGTCTGCCTCTGCATTGGTGGCTTGGGGCTGTCTGTGGGACCCGGGTGCCTCTTGGGGTTGGGGGTGGTCATGGGACCAGAGCCTGGGCCTGGCCAGGCCGGCACGTGTGGATGCAGGCCAGGATGGCCCCACATGGGTTGTTTGTCTGCTAAAAAGTCCTTTGGTGCTCTGTCTACTGCCACCAAAGGGCCGTGGAGGGTCATCCGGCTTGGGACTGGACAGCGGCTTTGGGGTGATAGGGAGATGTTTCTACATGGTTCTCTAAGAGGGATGTTTGCAGGTAGAGAAAGAGGGGCAAGCGGTGACCCAGTGCAGGTGCTACCTGAAGATGAGGAGGGAAGTAGGGCCTAGGAGGAAGGAGCTGGCCCCGGGGGAGGCTGAAGGCGGGTGTCACTGAGTGCCGAGCATCACCAGGAGCCCACTCTGGGCTTTGGTTTGTCCATCTCTGTCACCTCCTCCTCCCCTGCCCAGTACCTAACCCTGTGTCTTCTCAGGAAGTATCGGGCACTCTGGGCCCAGACCAGCCCTTCCGAGGGAGCACCAGGGTCCTTCTGGTCCAGTTTGGCCTCCATGGCGTCTTTGGCTTCATCATCTCCAGGGTGGACGCAGTTGGCTCCTTCCTCCTTGGTAGGTGGAGGAGAGGACCCACTCCCAGGTTCCCAGGGAGAGCAGGAGGGTGCAGGGTGTGGCTGTGTTCTCCCGGCAAGGCAAGGCATGGGGAGCTGAGCTGCAGGGCCCTCCGAGGCCCCTCTGGAACCTCTCGGCTGTGTCTTGGGTATTCTGGAGGTGAGAATCTGGCAGAGGTCACAGGAGGCCATGGAGGGGAGAGGTTTGCTTGGAGAGGACCCAGGGCAAGGAGACAAGTGGGACCTGGCGGGTAAGCACGTGCCCCCCCAGACAGGCCCAGGTCTTCAGCTGCCTTCTCCAAACTCTCCCAGGACCACCCAAGTCCAGCCCCCAGCGGCAAAGGCGTAATCAGACTGCACGCTCGGAGCACCCCAGCTACCAGGACCCCAGCATCGATCTGCGTATTCCAAACCCAGTTGTCTGCCTCGTAGTGGGGGACGTGATCCTCTTCCAGCTTCACATCCTTCCCCACAGTGAGTGCTGCCCACCGAGCTCTCACCACCCTGCTTCCCGGCCCCGCTCTCTGATCCCTCCCTGCCCTTCCTGGTGGTCTCACTACACACCAGGCCTCTGCAGTAGCGTGAGTCCTGGGCCTGTTCTGTCCCCTGATCACTCACTCCAGCTTGGGCTACAATTCCCACATCTGTAAAAGCAGGGAGTCTGAGCAGATGTTCCAGCTCCAACATCCTGGACTCCTCCCTGCAGCCCACGGGCATGTAAGATCTCTGAGTCTTGGAGGCAGTGGGGACTCCCCTGGGGAGGTGGAGCCCCTATTCCTGGAGCCCCAGGCCTCCTGCAGAGCTTCCTCAAGGTCCACCTCCCTTGTGGAGTCAGGTGTCAGCTGTGCCACATGTTTATCCCACTGGGCCTTGAGCCTGTAAGGCTGGACCCCAAACCCCACAGACCCCATCTTGGGACACCTTGGTTGATAAGCCATGTCTTCCTGGTGATGATGATGATGGGCTGAAGCCTGACGTGTCCCTGTGACCCCCACCACTGGGAACCTGCAGAGCAAGCCCTATTCTTCTGCAGACTGAGGGAGGAGGGCCGTTATGTCCCTCTGATTTGTGGCCTCATGCTCTGTGGCCCTCCATGCTCTGTGTCCACATTCCATTCACTGAGCCCTGGCCCTAAGGCCTCCTTGGAACCTCAGATCCCGCCCTTCTTCTCACCCAGAGCTTCCCCAGGGTGTTGCCGTGGGGTGGGCATCCCCCTCCCCTGCCCTCACATACATGATGCAGCATTGTCCCACCCAGATGCCCCAGGACACTGGGCTTAGATGGAGACAGGCCCATGCATCTGCAGCCCTAAATGTGAGAGAGGCAGATGCAAGAGATCAGGAGCCCCAGGGACTCCAGGGGACAGATGTGCATCCAAGAGGAAAATGAGCTCCATGTTGGACGTCTGCACCCTGGTTTCCAGACCCTGCTCTCCTGAAACCCAGTTGGACCTGGCCACTTCCCACCCCCTTCCCACTTTCCAAGCCCCATCTTGGACAGGGCTGTGGGGCTCAGGAAGAGGAAGTGACAGTTGTGCTCAGGAAAAGGCCTCTGTATGCAGAGGAACACACTAGCAGAAACCCAGGAAGGGCTCCCTTAGCAGCTTTTTCAGCCACCCCACAGCATGCATTGAGTGCCTGCTGCATGCCCCCACTGAGCTTCCTGCTTGGGGTGCCAAGATGAACAGTCTCATGTCTTAGAGTGCCAGGGCGTCGGCCGTTCTCACCACAAAGGGCGTCAGGGCCTGGCGCCCTGCGCAGAGTGTGCTGCCTGAGTGCCGGTGGGCGCTCTGCGGGTGGGGTGAGGGCTTTCCCTGGCACCAAGATGATTAAATGCACCATCACATGTCAGACACGTGACACGTGACATTTCATTGAAAACACGTCTCAGCTCCACCCGCTGTTCTGGGGACAGGGTGCCGAGCTCCCCGGATCTGGGCTGTCTGGGGCCGCAGCTGGGGTGGACTCTGGAACCCAGCCCAGCCCCACGTTCGTCCCCCAGACCGCTCAGCCAGTCACTACCCTGTGTACCAGAAGCAGCACCTGTTCAACAGCAACCCCCGCTGGGACTTCGGGGCCTTCCGGAGGCTCAGCCACCTGGTGCGAGAGACTCACCTCAACTTCTCAAGGTAACCGCAGCTGAGGGGGCTCGGGGACGCGCAGGGGAGGGGTGCAGCTTCTCCTCTGGGGGCCACAGCCTCTTCCTCGGTGGGTGAAGAGGAGGACACGGACTTGCAGACCATGTGGAGGCCAGGCCAGAGGCCGAGGGTAGGAGGGGCCTCCTGTGCGCTGGTGGGTGGCGTCCGTGGCAGGCGGGACCTGCTGGCGCTGGGTGGGGGTGGCGATCCATGGCAGGGCAGCCTGCCAGACTACACTGTTCCTGTGTGTGGGGAGAGGCCCCCACGCTGGGACACCCAGACTCAGCCTGATGTAGGCAGCTGTCAACGCCACCTCCCATTTCTGGGCCCTGATCTCTGCCCCCAGGTTTGCCCACCAGTTCCTAGATCCGGGCACGTACGTGTTTCAAGACAATGGGAGGCCGGAGAGCCTGGCCGTGGTGCTGGTGAAGGAGGACGGGGTGGCCTGTGGCCCTGGCCTGTCCCCCGTGCAGCCCTCCTCCCCGTATCAGCTGAGCAGGCACGGCGTCCTCAGGCACAGGCTGCAAAACCTGGGTCCAGACTGGGCAGTGATCACAGGTACCGACGGGTCAGAGCAGCCAGGACCACAAGGGCATGGAAAGGGCCCCAGGGGTGTGTCAGCCCCGTCTGTGACTCTGGCCATGGCCCCACAGACACCAGATGGGCCACAGTGACAGTGACACAGTTGCCCTTGGGCTTATATTTGCAGGTGAAGATCATTGAGTTTCCTCCATTTGGAGTCATCTTTCTCACCCCCCTTCCCCACCTCTATTCCCCGTCAGTCCTGGGAACTGCCCCAGGGGACAGGGTGGTCCCTGGGTGGAGTTGAGGATCGCTAGACCAGCCCCTTTGTGGGTGTCCCTCCTCCTTCCTTCTGTCCGAGTCAGGCAGCCGTTCACACGGGGCTCTCCAGGCTGGGCTGCCCAGTGGGCACAGGGGACACAGCCCCGCAACAGCTGGTGCCCGAAGCCCTGGCATGGCACAGGGTGGCAGCTCACATACACACACATGTGCATACACACGAACACACACATGTGCATGCACATTCACACACATGTGCATGCACACAACATGCGTGTGCACACACATTCACGCACACATACACACCCACATACACGTGGAGCACAGGTCTCTCAAGGGCCATGTCCCGGTAGGATCCTCACACAGAAGGACATAGGGTGGAGGGAGAGCCACTGGTAGGGGACTAACATCCTAAAGCCCGAGGGCAGCAGGGCAGAGGCCAGGGCCACTGAGGCAAATGTAAAACGGCAGCTGCCCAGGCCAGGCAGGGTCTGAGTGGCTGTCATGCGGTACTGTCTCCTCTCCTGCTTGCCCTCCAGGCGTGCTGCTGTCTGTAGGCCTGGCCGTCTCCGTGCTGACGGGCCTGGGCCTCCTGCTGGGACCCTCCCCGCCCCACGCCAGCCCCACTTGGGCCTGGAGGCCTCGGTGGAGAAGCCTGGGGCAGCCTCTCGTGCCCGCAGAGTATGTGCTCCTCGGGGACAGGTGAGTCTGTCTTGCGCCTGACACGCACTCAGCCCAGCCCTGCCCTGGCCCGGGGACTGCTGCGGCAGGTCTGGCCACTCCCCGTGAGCCTGGGCGCTGGCTGAGCTGCCCCGCCTGAGGACTCGTGGCAGACCACCATCCAGAGCTGACGCGTCGCGGAGCCTCCACGTGGGGAGCGGTGCTGCCGTGTGTGCTGGGCGCTGAGGTTGGCGTTTCCTTGCAGCCTCCTGTTCCATGAAGACCTGGGTCCGCGGGGCTCTGGGGATGGGGCCGACTCCAGGGAGAAGGCCGTGACCCGGGGCCCAGGTACATGCTGGTGTGCAGCCAGCCCCTCCTTCTCCCTGCCTGCCTCCCCCCAAATCTGCACCCTGCGCACACTCTGGGATCCTATCAGGGTACAAACACCTCATACGCCTGTGTAGACGTGTCACGCTGTCTATCTGATGCTCACAGCGAGAGGGTGTTTGTAGGCGCTGTCCCCATTTTATAGACAAAGAGGCTGCAGTGCAGGCACAGGTGAGTGACTTACCTCAGACCTCAGTTGATTGGTGTGGAGAGAGTGTTTAAGGTAAGAGCTCTCTGGGCCTCACTGTTTAGCAGTTCTGGGGGACCCAAGGGCAACCCCCCCAGCTCCTGGCTCGATGGTCCTTGCTCAAGGCAGGGACAGAAATGAGGACTGTTCTGTACGATCGATCACCAGTCCCTGTCCGTTCCTCTTTGACCTGGGACCTGGGTACTCCCTTGGAGCTCAGGAGAACCTGGGGCGCCTCCACCCCCCTCAGCCCACCTCTCCTCCATCACGGGCCTCAGCGCCCACTGTCAGCAGGAACTGCAAGCAGGGCCCATGGAGAGGCGACCTAACAAGGGGGACCCCTCACCTGCTTGGGTGCCAGTGGCTCCACATCCTGGCCAGCACTCATTATCCTCTCTTTGTACTGACACAGTAGATCCTGCTGGGTATGAGGCAGAAGCTCATTGTATTGTAGTTTTCATCTGCATTTATTTCCCTAATGATCAGTCTCGTTGAACATCTTGGCATGCGTTTATTGGCCATTTGTATGTCTTCTTTTGAGAAACGTCTATTCAAATTCTTTGCCCATTTTGGAATTAGGTTGTTTATTTTAGTTGTTGCAGTTGAGTTTTAGGAGTTCTCTATATATTCTAAACACTAACCCCTTATCACATACATGATTTTCAAATATTTTCTCCCATTCTATGGGTTGCCTTTTTACTCTCTTTATAGTGTCTTTGGATACACAAAATGTTTTAAAGTTTCATGAAGTCTAATTTGTCTATTTTTTTTTTATTGCCTGTGCCTTTGGTGTCAAACTGAGAATTCACTGTGAAATCCAATGTTGTGAAGTTTTTGCCCTGTATATTCTTCTAAGAATTTTATTGTTTTAGGTCCTATTTTTAGGTTGTTGATCCATTTTGAGTTAATTTTTTATATGGTGTTAGGTTAGAGTCCAACTTCATTCCTTTGCTGTGGATGTCCAGTTTTCTCAGCAGCCTTTGTTGAAAAGACTGTCCTTTTCACCATTGATGGGTCTTGGCACCTTTGTCAAAAATAATTTGAGTGTATATGGGAGAGATTATTTCTGGGCTTTCAATCCCCTTACTAGTTGTAAGTCTTAATGATTTCCTATTTCTTCATGATTTAGTCTTGGTGGGTTTTGTGTTTCTAGGAATTTGTACATTTCATCTAGGCCATCCAATTTGTTGGCATACAACTGTTCATAGTACTCTTATAATCTTTTTTATTTTTGTGGACTTGATAGTAATGCCCCCATTTGCATTTCTGATTTTAGTAATTTGAGCCTTCTTTTTTTTGTAGTGTCTAGCTAAGCTGTATCTGTTTTAGTAATCTTTAAGGAAACAACTTTTGATTTCATTGATTTTCTCTGCAGTTGTTTTCTATTCTTTTTTGTTTGTTTGCTTATATCTGCTCTAGTCTTTGTTATTGCCTTCTCTCTCCTAGTTTTGAGTTAGGTTTGTTCTTCTTTTTCAAATTCCTTGAGTTATACAGATAGGTTGTTCACAGAGATATTTCTTGTTTTAAATGTAAGCATTTGTAGCTATAAATTTCCCCTTTGCACTGCTTCTACTAAGTTCCATAAAGTTATGGTAGGTGGTGGGTTTTTTTCATTTTCATTCATTTCTAAATGTTTTCTCATTTTCCTTAAGATTACTTCTTTGACCTATTGTTTTTTTTAAGAGTATGTTGTTTAATTTCCACAATTTTAGGGGTTTTCTAGGTTTCCTTCTGGTACTGATTTCTAGCTTTATCCCATTGTGGTTAGAGAAAATACTTTTTTGATATCTATCCTTTTATACCTATTGAGACTTAATTTGTGGCCCAACATCTAGTCTATCCTGGAAAATGTCCCATATGCACTTTAGAAAAATGTGCATGTTGTCCTTGTTGGGTAATGTTCTGTATATGTCTGTTAGGTCTAGTTGATTTATTGTGTTTTCTTAAATCCTGTTTCCTTGCTATGTTCTGTTTGTTCTTTTAATTATTGAGAGGGAGGTGTTGAAGTCTCCAATTATTTTTATAGAACTGTTTGTTTCCCCCTTCAGTTCCGTCAGTTTTTGCTTCATATAGTTTGGTGGTCTGTTATTAGGTACAATTATTATATCTTCTTGCTAATATATTGAACCTTTTGTTAATATATAATGTCCTTCTTTGTCTCTTGTAAACTTTTTTGATTTAAACTATATTTTGTCTAGTTTTACCATAGCTATTTCTGCTTCTTTGGGTTACTATTTGTATAGTATATATTTTTCCATCCTTTCACTTTAAACCTATTTGTGTCTTTGAATCTAAAATGAGACTTTTAGATAGCATTTTGTTGGCTCATGTGTTTTTATCCATTCTGCCAATCTCTGTTTTTTGATTGGAGAGTTTAATACATTTATATATAAACCAATTACTGATAAGGAGGGATTTACTTTTGTCACTTTGCTGTTTGTTTTCTATATGCCTTGTAGCTTTTTTGTCCCTCATTTTCTGCATTACTTTCTTGTGTTTAGTTGATTTTTTTTTTGTAATGAAGTGTTCAAATTTCTTTTTTATTTCCTTGATTGTATATTCTATAACTATTTTCTTTATGGTTACCACAGAGATTACCTTTGACATCTAAAAGTTATATTGCTCTAATTTAAATTTATGCAGCTTAACTTCAATAACATACAATTCTCCTTAACAGCTCTATTCCTGAACTTTCTGTTGTTTGTGTCACAGAATTACATCATTATACATCATGGCTCTAAAATATATGCTAATAATTCTTTTAAGTGCCTTTTAGATTATACAGATTTAAACAAAATTAAATATTAATAAATATTAAACAAAATATGGAATTAGGCTCTTGAAATATATATATATGGGAATTACAAACCAAAGTTACAAAATACTATATTTTAGACTAAATTTTAATATATTAGTCTCTTTAGTCATGTAGAAAATTAAATGTGGGATTACAAACCATTGTTACAATAATAATAAATTTTATCATTGCCCAAGTATTTACCTTTCTTGAGATCTTTATTTCTGATTACAGCTTCAAGCTACTGTCTAGTGTCCTTTCATTCTACCCTGCAGGACTCCCTTAAGCATTCCTTGCAGGACAGATTTAATTTTATTCATCTGGGAAGTCCCTAATTCCTCCTTCACTTTTGAATAATAGTTTTGCTGGATATAGGGTTCTTGGTGGGCAGTTTTTTTTTTTTTTTTAACACTTTGAATATAGCAGTTAAAAAGGGTCCTTCCTTACTCACACGCGTCCTTCCTGTAGAGCAGAGTGCATTTGAGGGAAAGGCAGGTCAGAGGACCAGGAAAGCTCCTGCAGGACAGGAGAGGACCCACGGGAGCCCAGAGGCTGTCAGGCAGCAGCCTTGATGGGGTCACCTTGATTTCAGGGCTCCTGGTCTCCTGAAGTTGGCCTGGGTCATGCCCCCCGGCTGGCTGAGAGGCTAAAGGAGCACCACAGCCAAACACGCTGAACATGTGCCAGGCACTGAGGGGCTCCTGGAGGTGAGGAAGCTCCTGCAGCCAAGCCAGACACAAGGCCACAGAGCAGTGGGGACAGCCAGGGTGAGCACAGGGGGTGCAGGGCAGTCATGGGAATGTGGGGACAGGGAAATGAACTCAGGTGGAAGGAAGGGCAGAGGTATAACAGTGAGACAAGGCCCAGGAGGACCCAACCAATAGCCTCCCAAGGAAGGTTGCTGAGGACAGGGAATATCACCCTCAGCAAAACAGGGAGGCAGTGTCACTACCCAACTCTGGTATCACATCCACTCTGCCACCCCCCACACTCGAGGCCTCCTTCCTCCCCTGCCACCACCAAGCATCCTCCTACCTTCCCTCTCTAGCTCTGAACCCCCTACCCTGAGCTAGTCCCTCCTGCAGATGGGCTTTAACTCTCCCCTGCCTCCCTCTCCTCTGCCTCCCCGTCTTCTGTCTCCCCTCTCCCCTGTCTTCCCTCTCCTCTACCTCCCCTGTCCTCCACCTGCCAGGGCTGCCTGCAAAGCCCTGACAGGAAGAATGGAATCTCCCAGCTCCTCCTGCTCATCCCAAAGTCTCACTCCAAGGCTCTTCTTGCAGGGGAGCCACTCCCGGCCCAGACCCTGGAGGACTTCAGCATCCGCACTCTCTACGACAAGCTCGAGGACCAGAGCCTGCACGTGGCAGCCCAGCTGAGCAAGCACAGGAGTGACGCGCTGGCCTTCTACAGGGCCACCCAGCAGCAGCTCCAGGGGCTTCAGGTCAGCCCCCATTCCCAGACTGCCACCCAGCGAACAGCCACCCACGCCTTCTGGACGCTGTTGAGCCAGAAAGGACACCCATAGCTAAGAGGGTAATACAACCCTGGTTCTTCCAGGACTTTCTACAGGGCATTGGCACGACTGAACAGCAAGCTCTGGGCAGGGGCAGAGACATCAAGATGGAGGCCAAAGCTGCTGCCAAGACAGACCCTGAGCAGAGCAAAGAGCCACAGGGTGACCACAGTGCAGCTTCTCCAAGGGAGCACCAGCAGCCACCTCTAGGTGAGGGGCGCAGGTCCCAGGTGAGGCAGGACAGCAGGTGGAAAGTCACAGCACGAGCTCACAGCCCCTCACGGTTGTCATCAGGCTTGGTGCTCAGCACCTCCATGCAGTGACTGCACGGCAAGACCCTGGTGACAGAAGATGGCACCAGGCCCGGAGCCCCAGGGTGTGATTTGCCCAGGTGAACCAGGGGGCACAGGAACGTTGTCTTGTCAACATCGAGAGGGGACTGAGGAGCTCCCCGGGAGAAGATGAGCCCACGTGGCTGTCCGGTGGAGGACAGGAGCAGGCCCACCCCTGCGGCATGGGATGGTGGGGGTGGGCTCTGGAGCCCCAGTTCCTCCAAGGCTGTGTCCTCCACAGCCAGCTGGAAGCTGTTGTAAACGCAGGACATGTGCTACCTTATTTGACCCATTCAGTTGTCACAGGAAACCTGTGAGTGATGTTACCATCAGCTCCAGTTCACACTTGAGGAAGCTGAGGCTTAAAGAGGCTGACAGACAGCCCCTCCCAAGGTCCGGCCAGAAGCCGGCCCTCTGCTGCACACCCTCTCCACACACCTTGCCACCTCTAGCTGACAGGACGTAGGGGAACTTACTCACTGGGCCTGAGGTCCCTCCACTAGGGCCCCAGGCTCCAGTTCTGCCAGCTCAGACCCAGGCCAGCCCAAGGAGCCCCTGGCCCTTCCAGGGGGACAGGCCGGCCAGGCCAGGGTGGGCTCCCACTTCCTCTTTCGTCAACGAAGGTCACTCTCCAGAAAGGGCTGGTCCCTTAAAAATATGTCACTTTTTAATGATCTTGTCCTGGGATAAGGGGCCCTTCCGATCTGGGCCCCAGGGGAGGGGAACAGGTTGGACAGGCCCTGGAAACCCCCCCAGCCCTTCCCACCCTGGGCTGCCTGGGGCTGAGCCCTCCCGACCTTCTCTACAAACAAATCCCCTTCCTGAGCTTCAGGTCAGTGCACTTCTGGGCAGGGACGTCTGGCCATGGGAGTGTGAGCAGGAAAAGGACCAAGAAAGCTACTTTCCTCCGAAAACTGCCTGAGGCCAAGCTATACAGCTCCCTGTCCTAAAGATCCCAGGGACTGGCCTCCATGTGGCTGAAGGGGTCGAGGGCAAAAGGAGTCTCCCCCTCCCTCCTGGGCTATTGCTAACTGTAGGGGAGGGGTTCGGAAGTTTTCTTGGTGAGAGCCTTTTATTTAAAAAGAAAATAAAAAATAATGGGAAAAAGCTTCATCAAATTAATAAGAAGAATCAGTTAATCAACACTTAGATGACATTCCCTGTAACTCAGAAAAACCGCTCTGGGCGGGCATTTCCAGAATCCCACTGGGGGTGGGGGGGTTCATGAGGCATGGGGGAGGGGTGCAGGGAGTGCCCTGCCACCCAGGATTCAAGAGATCATGGCTGTAGGAGGAGGAGTTAGAACAGAGAAGCGACAGAAGAGACATATAAACAAAAGATGGGTAGGTCTATAAACATTTTTGTGCTTAAAAAAACAAAAGTAAGACACAAAATGAGTTGTATAGGAGGGGAAGAAAGCATGTATAAAAATTAGAGCACTCATACACAAAGTGCCCCCATGTGTTCCGCAGGGTTCTACCCACATATTTAGCACAGGAGAGTGACTGTCACAAGGCCAGAGAGAGATGGGAGTGGGCTCTCTAGCATGAGAGGGAAGAACAAAGCTAGAAGACAAGAGGCACACGTGCAACCACACACACAGGGCTTCGAGCACGGGAGTGAAGTGAATGTCAGGTGGGGCATCTGTGGTCCGGTGAGACGAGTGTGTCGAGGTCACTCTGTTCCCCTCTGTTTTCCTTCCCCAGGCAACACCCCCAGCATCTCCGCCCTGGGCTTCCCGCAGGAGCTTGGCCAAGTGATTGCGGCCCTGGCATCTGCACTGTCTCATGCGTGCGGGCCGCCAGCTAGAGCCAGCAGAAAGGTGAAAGGCCACAGGGACACCCAAGCATGTTTGTGTGTGCAAAACAGCTTCTTCCCTGTCCCCCTGACCCCATGGAGAGTCATGAGCTCACACACATGCAAACAGGCAAGCACACATACATGCACACACATATATACACACACAACCACGTACGTGGGTGTACATTCAGATTCATATGCATGTACACACACAAACCACATGCACGCAACCACATATGTGTGCATTCACACTCATACACACATGGACACACACACAGCCACAAATAGGTAAACATTCACACACACACACACATGCAAGCACACATACACATACACCACATAGACTGTCATTCACACACACCAGGGCCTCGCACTCCTGGGATCTCTGCACTCTGGTGAGAAACTCGGGGTTCCAACCCCTGGTCTCCATCTCCTCCAAGGTGTTTGTGTGAGACAATCCCCCCAGTCCCCTGCTTGTTGCTCGGGCCCATCACACAGAGCTCCGGTGGGGCAGCAGGACTCACAGATCCTGTCCCCGCACAGCGGTCAGAGGGAAGGAGGATGTGCCAGGCGTCTGTCCCATGCCTGAGCCTGGCAGGGCCACAGCAGGCACGAGCTGGTGGACAGAGCAGAGTACCCCTGAGGCAGCACGAGTCCCGAGTGGCCACAGCCTGCACTGGGCCTTAACTCCCACCAGGCAGTTGCTTGTGGCCTGGTCACAGAAGACATGGAATCCCAATGTGGATCAGGGCCTGTGTCTCTGTTGGGTTAGCGAGCTGCCACTGTCTGTCCGTCACTGTTCTGTTCTGGGCCCAGAACCCTGGAGGGGAAGTGACAGGACTGTCTGTTCCCCCAAGGCCTCCGGTCAGCCTGGTGAGCGGCCTCCCTCCGCCAGCCCCTGGCACGTGCTCCTGGCAGCCCAGCCTCCACCCGCGGACCAGCGGCAGCAAAGCGCACGGTAGGGGCGGGAAGCAGCCGAGCTGCCACGGCAGCAGATGTGTTCTCGGGAGAGACCCTGGCACCCTGGCACTAACAATCTTGTTTCTCATACCCACAACCCGATACAAAGCCTTAATCCTTGCAAATCCAGCTGTAAGGCCCCGGGGCTGCCAGCCTCTTGTACCTCCCCCTTGCCGTGGCCACCTGGTGAGTCACGGCGTCCACTGACTTAAGTAACCTGCCAGAACACATGTTGCTGTTTGGAATTGTTCCCACCCGTGGGAACGTGGCCACATCCACCCTGGCGGGCCCTAGACTTCACATCCCACCCACTTCCTTCCAACTCTCCTTCCTCTACTCCCCATCTCTCCTGGGGCTTAGCCACCGGGTCTCTTCATTCTTCCTGCAAGTCAATCTGAGGCTCAGGTGGATTTGTTTGCTTATGTTGATTAATTTCTACTGATGTCTTTAGATACATGGTCTGTTTTTCCCTTTATCCCCTTTTAATAGCAGTAAGTGATAATTATCGACTACTTGTTATTTACTAGGTAATAAGATAAGCACTTTATCTGCTGTCTAATTTAGTTCTCAGACCAACCCTACAAAGAGGATGCTACACTAGCTGCATGTAAACATGAGGGGACTGAGGCAGGGACAGGTTAAGTTGCTGGGATTTCAGCCCAGGCAGTGTGAATCTGAGAGCCCAGCCTGCCCTACTCGCTTGCACCCTGCACCAAATCCATGGTCAGTCCTCAATTCCTGAAACACTTCTGCTGTTGGTTTCCTTCTTTAAGGGGCCTAGAAAGTGTATATAGATAACTAAGTTTCCTGTAGCACTGGGAGAGGAGTCTGGACTCCCCTTTAAAGTCACGAGGCCTGGGGCCCCTGGAGGACCAGGGACTCCAGAAGGAAGGATCCAGAAAGGAAAGAAGAGTTAAGGATCTGGATCTCCACATTCTAGACTGGACTCTGCCCTGAGTGTTGTGGATCTTGACAAACACTTTCTCCAGCTAGTCCCTTTAGCTACCATAGGAGGATAATTTCATTCAGCAAACATTTATAGCCGTCTTTGATGAGGGGCACTGTGCAGAGATTTTGAAGATGAGTGAGTCAAGAGGAGCAGGCCTGGGGGTAACAGCAGTGACAAGAAAAGGCAAGAAATGCTGAAGACAAGGGACAGAGTCCTAAAGGTTTAAAGAAGTCTGTAAGGGTTAGCGAGGAGTTTGTGAAGGTGGGATCATTTGAGATGGGCTTTAAGGTGAGGGTGGGGTCCTGGCTTGCAGAGGGGAGGGGAAGGGTGCTCCTTGACAAAGACACCAGGTGAGAAAGCTTTAGTGTGACTCATGGACGCAGCAGCCCCAGAGGCCCCGAGCCTCCCTGGGACAGCTCAGCCCTCTCATTTCAGGGCAGGAAAACAGATTAGAACTAGGCCGGGTGCTGTGGCTCACTCCTGTAATCCTAGCACTCTGGGAGGCCTAGGCGGGCAGAGTGCTCGAGATCAGGAGTTCGAAACCAGCCTGAGCAAGAGCGAGACCCCGTCTCTACCATAAATAGAAAGAAATTAATTGGCCAACTGATATATATAGAAAAAATTAGCCGGGCATGGTGGCGCATGCCTGTAGTCCCAGCTACTTGGGAGGCTGAGGCAGTAGGATCTCTTGAGCCCAGGAGTTTGAAGTTGCTGTGAGGTAGGCTGATGCCACAGCACTCACTCTAGCCTGGACAACAAAGTGAGACTCTGTCTCCAAAAAAAAAAAAACAGACTAGAACTGACTCTGAGGAGTATAGCAGTGCACGGAACAGGTTTCCAGCAGGAGCCAGCCAGCACATTCTAGATGGATGGAACACTTCTGAGTGTAGTAAAGGACCACAGACAAAGGTGTGGTAGGGATGAGTGACCACACAGGACAATGTCTCCCCTCTCAGTCCTGAAAGGGCGAAGGCTGAGGGCAATCCCTGGGCCACCGAGGCAGTGCCATGTGGAGAGGCTCTGACGCCAAGGCCTTTGGCTTCCTGCAGGGACTGAGGGGCACAGCCAGCCTCCCATGGGGTGAAAAGCATCCTTTTCCTATACCCATGTTACAGTATCCAGCTGGGGCCCTGTAAGTTAGAGTCAAATAACAGATCAGCAAGAGAAAAGCAATCAGAAGTCTCTGATTGCACATGCCTATAGCAGCTCCCGGGGACAAGTGACTCCAAGGGGTGGTTAGAACTTGAGCTTATTCAGCATCTTAACAAGAGAACAATACAATTTTAGAGAAGTGGCAAGACAAAGGAAAAGGACATTGAGTTTCTAGGTCAGGAAATTGTGGGAAGGTAAATATATAGGAAACCAATGCTGGATAAGAGCTAGTTTTATCGGAGCTAGGTTTACGCAGATTCCTCTGGTGTGTCAGTCTCCTGGGACTGATTGCCTCTGTCCTTCCAGGTAAAGGGAGGGAGGGACACTTTGCAAATTTATGCCCCACTTTTAGGCAACTGGAAGACAGAGAGCTCTCCTTGTGTCTGCTTCTTCTCAGCTGCCTTCAGCTCAAAATATTCAATATGAGAAAGTGGTGTGCTTTGGGGTGACAAAGTTTGCTACCCTGCACTGAGGGAGCTGCTCTGTGTGCAGGCAGGGGGGGCTGGGGGTGCATTCAGCCAGTTTCAGGGAGTCTAAGGGCCTATCGGTTTTGCCATCACATTAATATTGCAGCCTTCGTGGAGGAGTTGAAAGTGGCTAATGTTCTTTTCTGGTTTTACCTGAGGCGGGATATGCTTCTGGCAGCAGGCGCCTGAAAAGGTACCTTCCTTTCCTCTTCATTCCAGCCCCCAGCTGGACCCAGGACCCACAAGCCTACCCCACGATGATGCTAAAGAATCAGATGCTGAGAGCCCAGGGCCTGGAGAGTGGACCCTTGGGGCTGGACATGATCATGGAGCCACTCCTGAGCTGCAGGTAGGCACGTGGCTCTGGGACCACAGGCATTCCCCGACCTTCCTGCCCACTCTGTTAACATAAAATAATGAGATCATAAAATATGATTAGGTGTAGAGTCTGTTTGAAGGGAGAGCTTGAGGATAGCCACCCGGGAACCACAGACTCCAAATGAATGGGGTGAGCATTCCAAAGTGGAGAAGTTAAAATTTCACTTATAGGGCAGAGACAGAGAAATTTTAGCAGAATTACAACATTTTCCATACAGGGTCAGTGCATACATTACAGCAATTTAATTGGTTACAGATTGCTACATTCCAGGGTAGTTTACCTTATTACTCCATGAGGAGGGGTAATATAGTCTGAAGGGGATCTTATCTCTTGTGCCAGTTAGTCTTCCTGATTATTTACAGAAAAAGAAACAGGCAGAAGTTGCAGCTGCATGCCACATGGCTCAGGCTACATAGCCACATTCCTCTCAAGGCTCAGAAAAAGTTAAACTTCCAACAGCTTTTGAGTTAGTTTTCTAATTTTCCCTTTGCATCAAAATCTTTCAAAGAAAGGATTGTAGATGAACACAAACGGTTTGGATTCCTTTTACATTCAGGCTCTTCCTGCACTGCCAGGATGACTCATTCCTAGATTGTCATGTCCCGTGTAGGGCGAAACTTGTCAGGCTATGAAATGATGGGTATAGGCCCAATTTAACACAACATGAAGGAAGTGACTTTGTGACTTGGGTCAGGTTACATATCTGCCACTTCAATTAATACAATTCTTTGAGTGACCGTTATTATGATTTTTTCAGTTATGCATTGACTCCACTGCAAACACATGAAACAGCAGCAGAAAGCCAAAACAGGACCACAAATGACTATAATCTCTGGAATAAGTAACACTTCTGCCACCAAAGTCCCCAAGATCCAAACCAGCTCTTTTGTTCAATTGTTTAGAGAGGGTGTTGGATTAGAAAGGTCAGTTATTTGTGTTTTCATGTGAATCATTAATTTAGTGATGTCATTCAATTCGTTTGGGATATAGACGAAACACTTAGTTTTTATGATAGTGCAGTTTCCCCCATGGACTGAGCGAGTATGTCTAAAGTATACAGTTCTGTATACAGCCTTTCTCATAAGAACATCTTCGTTGTTTAATAACAAGCTACCCATGTGTCTATCATTCAGGGCCTTGTTTGTGTAACTGGTTAGGGTCTCTACATGCCAAATGACATTCTCAGTGCCCAGATGTGGCAGAAAGATGGAAGCTAAATGATCATACCTATGGAATACAAGAAAAAATACAGTGTGACTATAAATGAATAAGATTTACAGACTTTGAAAGAGTGTGAACTATTTGACCTTGTGCCCAGACATAACCCAAAGAACACTGTCCTAACCACCCTGGGGGTAACCATGGCTGTGAACTGTACTACATAGCCACAACATTCCATTCAGGGCTAATCAATAAATACCTGGCGGCTGTGCCCATTCAGTGGCATGCTGATCAGTACTTTGTAATACAATAGTGTGATACACTCTTCTCTGGGTAACCTTCCCATATCTCCAGTGTTATTGGGCCTTACATCTTTGGTGTGATTCTTTTGTTCCAACATAAAGGGGCATGATGGCAGAGCTCACCAAAAGGGAGGAGGTAAGCCAGATGAAATTGTCCCAAATTTGCGTTACACCGTTCTGAAATTGACTTGTCTTATCTCTCAACTGGGACAGCACTAGCATTAAAGTTAATGATTTGGTTTTATCTACTGAAAAGCTCTTCTCATGTCCTTTGCTTTGTAAAATATTGTCAATAGGCCAGTGACACTGGATACTTATAATCCATTTAACTAAAGCTGCTTTGCCAATTTGGACTTCATCTCAAACGAATGATTTAAAACTAAAATTCTGCAGAACCAATGAGGGTAAGAAAAAGATGACATCTGGAAGCTGTCTACACAGCATTCTTAGTCACACTAGTGTTAAGCCTCAATGACTGTTCTTAAGAAACATGGATGTAGTTCTGATATTCTATTCAATATTGGCCTCAGAAAGGAGATACTTACCATGGTAGGCCAGAATCACAGGAAAGGGGCATGATGCCATATATCCAACAAGTGTTTTTCTACAATTTATCAGCTTATGGGAATAGAATTATTCTGAGCCCATTGCAAAAAAAAAAGGTTTGCTTTATGGGCAACAACTGGTGATAATAACAACAAAATATAAAAACTAGGGATAAACCAGGCTCAGTGGCTCATGCTTGTAATCCCAGCATTTTGGGAGGCCAAGGTGGAAGGATTGCCTGAGGCAAGGAGTTCAAGACTAGCATGGGCAACATGGAGAGATCCATATCTCAAAAACATAAGACAGATTTGCCAGACATAGTGGCACATACCTGTAGGCCCAAATACTCAGGAGGCTGAGAGAGGGGAATTGCTTGAGCCCAGAAGTTTGAGGCTACGGTGAGCTATGATCATGCCGTTGTACTCTAGCCTGGGTAACAAAGCAAGACTCTATCTCTAAAAAGAAAAATTTAAAGCTAGGGATAAAAAGAAAGAATGAGCCAGATTTTGCATACCGACTGGGTTATTTGTCCAGTGAAATAAATACATAAATACCTTTGAGCCTGTGAAGTGCTAGAGGAACTCCACAAGTTGAAATAATTTTCTCTGAAAGGATTTTACTTACTACTAAGGCTATTGTTGCTTTTCTTCATGGAAATGCTTCTACCCAATGAGAAAACATAGAAACCTTCACTAAGAACACACGTGGATCCTTGTGATGGTGGTAGCTGAATAAAATCAAGTTGCCATCCAATTAAAAGGCCTTCTGGTAAAGGTAAATGACCTTGAGAACTACTTGAGGGCTTCCCTTGATTATTTTTTGAGTAGACATGGCAGTGATTGTGTACCTGATGAGCAACAGTTGGAGAACGTTTCCAATAATATTGTTTTTTTCAAGCAATCATTTATTGAGGCTCCAGTGAGTTAAATCATGTGTGTACATCAGAGAGATGACTGTAATTTGGTTGAAAGGGTGGGTAGATCATTTAGTGCATACCGCAGCCCAGTCTCAGAGGAGTATACTCCCCTTCTAATTTCCCAATTTGCTTGTTGTATTCATGGAGCTTTGCTTTGAGCTACTTTTATATCATAGTCAAGTGCTTTCTTATAAGCTAAAATGGGATGAGTTGCTTATTCATTTAAGTTTAGGGCAGCCGTTTTTGCTGTACTATCTGCTTTTTGATTTCCTTTGCTTTCTAGACTGTCTGACTTTGAATGGCCTGAAGTCTTGAAATGGCTAATGGTTTTTACAATAATGTGGCTTTCAACAATTATGAAACAGGATGTCCCTTTTTTATGAACTGATCAGAAAAAATAAAAATTCCTCTTTGTTTCCATAGCACCCCAAAGTCATGAGCTACTTCAAAAGCACATCTGCTATCTGCATAAATATTGGCAGTCATTCCTTTTGCCAACTGACAGGCTGCATGTAATTAATGTCATTGACTCTGCTGAGCTGAGGTCGCTCCTGGGAGATAAGCGCTATTTCCTCAGTCAAAGATACCATAGTGTAACTTGCATGATAAACTACAGATTTATCCTTCAAGTAGTATCCGTCAACCAAATAACAATAGCATTATTAACGAGGGTTTCTTGCAGGTCCATTGTAGGAGAGAGAAACCAGTTGTTTAAGACTATGCATGCATGAGGCATTTCATCAGGAGAAAGAGGCAGAGGAGTGTCAGGATTAAGATTATCACACCTGGAGATTGTAATATGGAGAGCAGAAAGAAGAAGAACTTCCTAAGAAGCCACTCTACTAACTGAGTAGTGTTGAGTGTGGTGCTAACTTAGAAGCACTTCCACAGAACGTGGAAGGAAGACAGCGAGGGGAGATCAAATCAGTATTTCTTCAGTTGCTCTTATTAAAAGGGCAGTGGCAGGTATTGGTTTCATGCAACATGACAATCCTTTAGTCACAGCGTCCAGTTGTTGACTACAGTATCCTACAGGTCTATTTTGATCTCCACATTTGTAAGTCAGAACACCTAGGGCATTGCCGTGATTTTGATGAACAGACAATGAAAATGAAATATTAAAATTTGGGTTCCCTAATGCTGGGGCATCTATAAAACTGTTTTTAATGTCTTTCAATGTTAACTGGTTTTCTTCTGTTCATTCCAAAGGGTCTGGTTTATTCTGTTTTAATAGAATATCTAAAGGTTGAGGGCTTTTTCCTTTTATCGATGCATAATATTTTAATGTTTATGGGGTACATGTAAGTGTTTTTTACATGCATAGAATATGTATTTATCAAGTCAGGTATTGGGGCGTTCATCAGCTTGAGTCATTTCTATGTTTTGGGGAACATTTCAAGTCCTCTTTTCTAGCTACTTTGAAATATACAATCTATTCTTGCTAACTATAGTCACCCCATTTTCTATTGGACAATGGAACTTATTTATTCCATCTAACTGTAAGTTTTTACCCATTCACTGATCTCTCTTAATTTCCCCCTCCTGCCCTAACACCATACCCAGCATCTGATATCTATCACTCTATTTTCTATCTCCGTATGATCAAGTTTTTAGTTTCCACATATAAGTGAGAACATGAGGAACTTGAGGAATGAGGAACATGAGGCACTTTCTGTGCCTGGGTTATTTCTCTTAATGTAATAACATCTTATGCCATCCATGTTGTCACAAATTACATGATTTTATTCTTTTTTAAGGCTCAATAGTATGCTATTGTGTTTATATACCATATTTTCTTTATCTATTAGTTAGTTTATGAGGACTTAGGTTGAATTCCATATTTTTGCTATTGTTAATAGTTCTGCAATAAGCATACAAATGCAAGTATCCTTTTGATATACTGATTTTTTTTTTCTAAATGTTGGGCTTTTAAGGAGAAGTTTGGAATCCAAATTCTGAAGTATCCTACCAACCCCAGAAGTCCTCTCAGTTGTTTCTTAGTTTTGGGGTAGGGAAGGCCAATATTCCCTTTATATCCAGATTGA